AGTTGGACCGTTTTAGTTAGTCTGTCGGGAGAGGACAACGAAGAATTCTTTTAAAGATGGCCAATTAAAGTATTTATTTTTCTTGAAAGGTATCTTTAATTTTTGGTAAGGTTTTTTGAGTAAATTTGTTTAAAAGTAGTCAAAAACTGATTTATTTCATTGCCATTATTTTTAGCAAGCAACGCAGAAAAAAATCGCTTAATGAACATGAGTTGAATTACCAGTTTAAAATATTGAATAAAACAAATGTTAAGATTTAAGAATTTTCTTGAGAACTTAATGCATTCCACCATACGATATTGTGTGCAATAAATCTTATTTTTTAAAATCAATTTTCCAGTGAGCTTTAAATCAAATATTGTGTAACGAGTTTTGAACCAAATACTGTGTAGTATTCATTTTTTTTTGTTTGAACATATTTTATTGTAGTTTCTAATTACAAAGGGATTGGGGCACAAGTTCTAAAACTTATTATGCCCTCTTCCTACATGTAAATTACAAAAATTAAATTAAATTAAATTAGGTCACAGTTAAATATGTACATTCAAAATATTCAATATTAGTGAAATTTACAAATCAATGCATTTTAAAGAATCATACATATAATTCTGTATATACATGTATATATAAATAAATATATTTATAATAATACTAATACTAACATGTGAATCTGCCAGAATGTTTGATAAAAGTTTGAACAATTGAGAAAAGACGTTCATTCTCCACAACACTCAATGAATCTATCCCCCATAATAAAACATGTGTATCTAAAATGTGATAAAAATACATCTGTAGAGGTCAATATTTAATGCACAATTATGTCAAAGTCTGGTCTGGAGAACATTCAGTCGCCTGTTACCATATTCAAAATATGATGGTGGGGCAGACTTTTTAATACTTATTTTAGATTTAAAATTTGACAACAATTGTAAGTTTCTATTTTCAAGTGGTAATGAGTTCCATTCATTAACTACAGTAGGAATATACGATGACTTATAAGTCTGTAATCTACATTTTGGAATATCAAAATTTTCAGAATTTCTAGTAGAATACCTATAATGTATTGCATCGCATATTTGGAAGTATGTCCATTAGATAATCTGGTACTAAATTGTTATGCATTTTAAAAAATGTCTTTAATCTTGCTGTCTGTCTTCTACAATTAAGTGGTTCCCATCCCGTTTCGAAGTAAAGTGGATCTTTAGAGGCTATGGTTGTTAAACCTGTGACAATTCGTGCAGCATAAAGTTGCAATTTTTCTAGTTTATCTTTATCATTGTCTTGACAGCAGCCCCACACCACAGAAGCATATTCAAGTTGTGGTCTTATAAATGACGTATACATAAGGGAGAGAGATTTTCGATTCATTTTAAATTGTAATTTTTTTAATAAAGCCAATTTTCTGTAGGCACTAGCCAGTAAATTTTCAATATGTGATGTCCAACTAGCATCATGTGAAAATAATACTCCAAGGTGTTTGTGCTTAATGACATTTGTTGAAAGAGAAGCTTAGGATATTCGATGTTTTTTTTTTTGTACTGAAAATTATTGCTTTAGTTTTAGAGGGGTTGAATTTCATAAACCATTTTTTTTTTTTGCCAAAGTTCCAGTGCATTAAGATCGTGATTAAGATTTCTTTCAATAATTTTCATATTTTGAGATGAATGTTGGAAAGAATTGTCATTTGGAAATAGTCTACATAAAGTGATCATATTGTCAGCAACATCATTCACATAGATTAAAAACAAAAGTGGCCCTAATATTGAGCCCTGGGGAACACCAGCATACAAAGGTTTAGGTGATGATAACAAACTACGATACAAAATTCTTTGATACCTACATTCTAAATAGCTTTCTATCCATTTACACAAATTTCCATTTATCCCATATGTTTTAAGTTTAAATAAGATACCTTTATGCCAGACAAGATCAAATGCTTTTGATATGTCGCAAAATATCATACAACAAAATTTTCCATCATCAATAGATTTAACAATATTATCATATGTTTCAATTAACTGATATACAGTTGAGTGACCAGGTAAGAAACCAGCCTGATATTTATAAAAAAGATTATTATCATGAAAATAATTGTAAATATACTAAAAAATAACTCGTTTTATGATTTTGCTTACACAGCTCAGCAACGAAACTGGTCTATAGTTTGACATCACAGAAGGATCTTCTTTTTTAAAAAGAGGAAGTGCATTAGCTAGTTTCCATTCTGAGGGAAAAATACATTCATTTAAAAATCGATTTAACAGCAAACAAAGCAGTTTGGCAATAGAAAACTTTGCAGATTTTAACATCTTGCGACTAATGTTGTCAGGACCAATGGCCTTGTTTGTGGGAAGTATTGATATAATATCAATTATTTCTTGTTCACTAATACATACATTACTAATTTCATTATTACAAACATAATATGCATAGGTAATTCTGACCCACTGTCATCAACACATGATACAGAAGTAAAATAGTTATTAAGTACATCTATTTTCTCTTCATTGGAATAGGCAATATTTGTATCACCAGTATCTGTTGTATATTGTAATGGTGGAATATCAGAGGAAACTAGTTTTAAAAACATCCTTCAATAATTTCCAGTAAGGTTTCGAGTTGTTTTACTAGCGTCTGTAAGATGTAATTCTAGATTATTATGGTAGTTTTCAATTGCCTGTTTTCTTATATTGTTGAATTTATTTCTTATATGTTTAAAATTTGCCCAATCAGAGTCTTTTTTACTTTTAAGAGCTTTTTGTCTAAGTCTATTTTTAATACGAAGAGTTTTACGTAATGCAGAATCAAACCAGGGTTTATCTTTTGGCCTTATTATAACAGACTTTTCAGGTATGCACTGTCTAACTATGTTCATAAATGTCAAAGAAAAATTTTCCGTAGCCTGGTTAACATTTTGTGCATTACAAATGAGGTTTGCCCAATCAGTATTTTGAAGAAGGGAGTTAAGTTGATCCATATCAGCATTCGTGTATACCCCAACTTTTCGTTCATAAGATTAGTTTTGGTTGACACTTGATTAAAAAAATATATATATGTCCCTTTGGGATCACTTATATCACTGTCTATGTCTAACACGCCTGAGTGAAGAACTTAAACATCCGAATTGACTAGAACTGGATCAATGAGTGTGTTCGAGGTGTTCATGACACGAGTGGCTTCAAGGATAGTGTTTGTAAGATTGTATCGTAAGAGGATTTCATTAACAATGTGTGTTCTAGGAATATTAAAGAAGTCTACATTAAGGTCTCCAACTACAACAATTTTAGTGGAAATGTCAGAAGCCTTTTCTATAGACCACATAAGGTTTATCACTGTTTGGTGGGCGATATACACAACACAGTAGAAAGTTACAGGAAGGTTCGCACACTTCTAACCAGATACATTCTATTGTAGTGGGTTCAAGGTCATCGCGTCTGGTAACTCGAAGAGATTCAGAAATATAAACAAGAATTCCTCCTCCATAAGAATTCCTGTCTCTTCGAAAAATTGTATTAAAGCCCTCAATTGAGATATCGCTATTATTTATACTACCGTCTAAATGTGTTTCTGTGAAGCATAAAATATCGAAGTCAGTGACAAACGTTGTCAAACTTTCAATTTTGTTTCTAATGCTCCTAATGTTAAGGTGAAAAATATCTAAACTATGAAAAGGAACACCATTTGGACCGGGATTAGTTTCGATGTCGCCAGATAATAAAAGTAGTAAATGAATAAATTGTAAGCAGAAATGTATATGACCAAAGCTTTTCATACCCTTTTTAGTCATATATTTAAACATTTGCAAACATTTTTGTACGCATAGTATAAAAGCGAAAGTAAGTTCCGAAGATCAAAAATACAGAATAGCATTGATTTAATAATGCAACTATTTTTGAGATAATAGATTCATATTGCGGCTCGATATTGCAATAGTGTATTACCTGTCATTAGCTTTTGTAAGTTTCGCACAATCAAAAGACTTAAATTGAAGGAGCCGCTTGTAATGACAACTGTCAGAATGCTTATAATGCATATGAAATAAACTGTGACCAATATAAGTGGGGAAAATGAGTAATAAAACAAAAACAAAGAACAAAAACCCTTCATACATGTCAAAATAATAAATCTGAACATTAGTGGGGGAAACAAAATAAAAATTGTTAACAAGTATAAGGAAAATGACACCTCTGTGTCGCTAGGGAAAACAGGGCGCATAGCGACAGGAGCGTTGTTATAAAACAATGTAAATAAATGTACTATGTACACTATGTACACGATTTTCCAAGAAACAGTAATCATACTGTTATTGTAAAGGTAAATCAGAAATATCTTAAATACAACTTATAGTGATATAAATTAATAGTTTGCCAAGAGTATACTTTAGATTGCTTTACTCATTTATAATTTTAAGTCTGTTGATGGATTGAGAAAACACCATTTTAAAGTTAATGCATGGGTACTGGACTTACATATCCTCAGATATAACTTTTCTTTCATTTTTTAATCTAAATGCGTTAAAAACTTAAGTAATGTAAACGGTACTTTTCAAAAAAAGAGAAGTTTTGAGATTTTTTAAAGCCGACGCGTTACATAACCATTGTATGAAGTGAAAAAAATCATAAGCACCATAAGGAAAAAATTACATCAATTTTAAAGATATTTGTGATCTTGATACTTTAAAAAAAATTGTAATATATTAATTTGCCTTACGTACAAATAGATTGTTTTTTTTTTCAAAATTTTCAAAAAATAATTTTTTTCTCGCACTTTCTTCCCCTCTGAATCAAATTGTAGAATTCTAAAAATTGCAACAACCAAAAAAGCAGAACAGATAAAAAGATTAGATTTATGAAGTCGAAATCAAAGAGGATGAATTATCCTAAGGGCGAAATCACACGCAACCGTTTTAAGAAAAAGGAAGTAAAAATTAATAGGGGCCGTGTCATCAAAGCAACACTATGCGTAGCACGTAACCTGAATGTACACATTGAATAAGTAGTGCATTGTGTTTATTGCAATTAAAGTTTCGATTATACAAACACCCGATCATTTGGGGGAAAAATCCACAAAATATAAAAGAATACCAGGTAAGTTTAAACATTTCAGATTTACAAAGAAAAATAAAACAAAAAGCATAATGGCGTACTTTCTGTTACGTGAAAAGGGAGTTTCCTTTTTTAAAAAGAAATTCCTAAAACCAGTTTACATGTATATGCTTTTCTTGAATTAATAACACATTCAACCTTCATTAGCGTATACAAGGTATGAATTTCATTAATTCGTCTATTATATCTCAAAATGCTTCACAACTTTCTTGGTTTTCATAAAAGATCAATCAACATGATCAATATTCCCTTTCCCCTTTCCAAATTTTCTGCTCTGATTCGAGCCTTGGAGCTCAACAGATAAATTTACACAGAAGCAATTTCAAAATCTTTTGTGATTTAACATTATAAAAAAGGCCGTAATTTCGAAAAAGGAATCTTGCATTATTTGAGATATTCTGCTAGTTAGAGTTTATAATGTTTTGGTTTAGTGAATGTTCGGAATGATTGAAATCTACACTATAAATTTCGTGTGATTTGGGAAAAAATCTTTAACATGTGTTTAATTTGATCTATTTTATATATATTAATATCTCTCAATACAGGACCACACAAATGCCCATAGTCAATTTGTTTAAAAACCTTTGGTGCCAAAGCTAGTGTGAATGGACAAAACAGTAGCCTGCCCCCTTTTAGAAAATAATGGTAAGTTAAACATGAAATTGTGCATTGAATTACATTGGAGAATTAAACTCCATATTCAGATGAACATGATATTTTGCTGCATTTAAATGCATATATCTAATCAACGTAGGAATGTAATTGAATATTTTTAATTGATAAACACGTCGATGATATACCTGTATCTAAATGTCAAATTGAAGGCCAAAGCAAGAAACATTTCCCTTTTCACGTAGAGGATTTTGAAGAAATACTGTTTCATGAAAATAAAAAAAAATTAGTTCTATTTATGAAGTTACTCAAATCAAACAGATTGTTTACAGACCTGGTCTTCAAAGATAATAAAAATGTTGTCAAAGAGAACTTAAGAAATATAAATCTCGTAGTACTTGTGCGAAAAATCATTTCCTTTTTTTCTTCTTTTTTTCTTTACAAATCCCTTTAGAGATGTTCATCCATAAGATTTTAAATGATGTCTTGGAATCCTGTAGTGGTATAGAAATTCAAATTCAATTTTATTGCTGAGAATTCTAAAAGTTTTAAAACATTTTTTAACATAAGAATTTGAACAATTTCATCCTTAGAAACTGGAACCAGTACATATTGATCATGAATTCTTGATCATTGTTTTGGTCTGAATTACCGAAGACAGAAGAATAAACGTTTTTCATATCCCCCAGCCGTTAAATACGAGACGTTAACAACGTACCTTTCATTAAATTTGACAAAGTATTAAGTTTAATTACCCCCTTAATTCTATGTCTCAAAATAGGGCGGTTCTTGGCAAGGTCATCATGTCTCAATAGTGTCATAATATATGGATTAAGATTTTATAAGGAGAAAATGTTCAGGAACATTCAAATTCTTTATTTCATTAAGGACTTGTTAATAAATATACAAAAAAAAAAAAAAAAAAAAAAAAAAAAAAAAAAAAAAAAAACTGAATCAGAAAACTTTTCCTGTGTTCTGAATCTAACCCATTCTGTGCTAAAACAGGATGATGTTTTTATATACACAATAAAAAGGGCAAATTTACTAAAGAACAACAGGACTAAACTTCGTCAAAATTGATCCTCTGAAAATTTAGAGGGGAAAAAGTATAACACATAAAAAAAACAGACTTGATTTTCTGAGGAGACAATGCTTTAATGAAAAACTTGATTTCATTTATCAAAAAAGCATGAATAGACATTAAGACATTTTGGTTTCTTTAAAACTTTATTAGAAATAACTTTTTATTACTATAACCTAATATACTGAAGTTCAGAGAAGTGAAAGCAAAAAATCCACAATGGTATTTAATCTGTTGGAAGCCTTAACATAAATGCGTTTGAGAAAAGTTGCTTCTTAAATGTAAAATTTACTTACGTTCTTATTTTTTAGAGAAGCAATAAATAACTGCTATGACAGCATCCCCTTACTCGTCTACAGAGGAGACGACAAATGCTTGTAGAGCGTGTCGACTTCTCCTGGGTCCGTGTACAGATCAACTGAGGGATGTTTTACTTCATCATGTACCTTTGTCAACATTCCCACACGTCATTAAACAAAATATAAGCAATCTTCCTCGTCTGACAGCACCACAACTAAATTTGATATTACCTAGAGGCAGTACGTATACCGGAAACTACAATGATATGGATATTCCTTTACTGTACACACTACTTAGAAACATTTGTAGAATCCCACCACACAGTAACGGCTGGGGATATGATCCAGACCCTACTGACAGATCACTCTCTGCCAACATTGAGAAGATTCGTATTGCCAGAAATCAGTGTGTTCATTCTTCTAGTCCTGTCCTCTCCAATGCTGATTTTAATGCAATCTGGTCAACTGTCAGATCAGCAGTTGTGGATCTTGATTCTTTCCTTAACAACGGAAACCAGTACGAAAGAGAAGTGGACTTTTTGAGGCATGAGACAATGGACCCTGTCAATGACCGTTACTACATAGAAGAGCTGCGAAAACAGGCTAAAGATGATGCTGCAACAAGAGAGATACTTCATGGACTGAAACGTATATATTTGATAACTAACTTTGAAACTGGCAAAAAGGAAAAAAAAATATTATGAAACATTATTACATTTACTTAAAGTGAATTTGCTATCTTTAATACCGGTTATCACATTTCTGTTATCATTTCTTATAAACTTAGTTAAAAAAATGTTTTACTTTGTTCCAGGTAAAGTAGATGAGATGGATACAGATAGCATCGAGAATCGAAATAAAATGATGAAGCTTAAAGGTATGTATTACATCAATACAAAATCATGAAGAGACAGTAATACAACATGTGACACAAAGGAAAACTAGCAAAATTCATTCAGGGAATATCAATTAAAGAAGGAAGTGTACCAATTAGTATTTAAACTGTTCCATGTCCTAGTCAATATGGCAAGTCAAGTGTCACTAACAAAAACATGTAAAGCAAAAATTCAACACACAATCCATTTAGGATAGAAAAAAAAATGTCCTTTACTATCTTTAGAAATAAGCAGAAAAACTTGACATTCAGATACATTGACGCATTTGATCAATTAGCAATAGTTATTTACATTCATATGTCGACTGGATATAAATAAAAGACAAAAAAGAGTCTTGCACATCTGTTTCATATTTCGATGATTTACTGACTATAGAAGATAAGGACCAACGAACAACTTAATTGTATGACAAGCGAGATAACTTCAGCTTTTCCATCGTCAACTTTCCTTATTTATGTTACAATATTCCGCTATTGTAATATGGTGTTTACGTCGCCCTATTTATTCAGTACTAAAGCTGTGCTCTGAGTACCATCAATTTTCAACTGAGGCCGTTTACAGACAGTAAGGTTTAGGTTACAGGGATGTTAAAGGATTTCAACAACCTTGTTTAACGTCAGTATGCCGTAATTCTTTGGTCGATATAATGGCATTGCTTGTATATATAACCTATTACGGGATCGATTTTGTTTTCGCTGACTTGTTTCATACCAATTGTTAGGCTTTTGTTCTAATACTAAATTTGACTATGTAATGTTATGACTACCCGATCAATACAGTTCTCGGTGGGTATGTTCGATCAACAGGCGAGGATTCCTCTTCTTTGGCAACTGATCCAACTTCAACTTGTCATCTCATAGAAATCAATCCAATTATTTTTTTTTCAGATGATGTATCAAGACTTAAAAATGCTGCTGTTCCCTCAAATGTGAAAGGTATGTTATAAAAAAAAGTTACATAAAAAGAAAAACAAAACATCAGACCATCGGCCAAAACACTCGCGTTAATTACTATGGCTGTTTTTCATCAGCAGATTTCACCAATGCATTCTTATGTAAAACTTGTGTTTTGGAAGGCAATTTTAAAAGATTTCCTATATATCAGTTGATATTTCATTTCAATGAAGGCCTAATTTAAGGGCTAGAACCACAAACGATCAAAATGTGCATTAAAAAAGATGAGGTTTAGGAAAGATAAAGTGTAAACTTTATGCCTTTCATCATTTCATTATCATTTCCCTTTTTAGCTCACTGAGCCGAAGGCTCAGTGAGCTTTTATGATCAGAGAGTGTCCGTTGTCCGTCTGTCGTCTGTAAACTTTTCACATTTTCGACTTCTTCTCAAAAACCACTGGGCCAATTTCAACCAAACTTGCCACAAAGCATCGTTGGGAGAAGGGAATTCGAATTTGTTCAAAGGAAATTTCAAGGGGAGATAATCAAGGGGAAATTCAAGGGGAGATAATCAAAGTTTACCATAGGAATATGTAGGTAATATCTTTAAAAATCTTCTCAAGAACAGCTAAGCTATTATTAGACATATTAATACAGAAGTTTCATCAGGTAGTGTAGATTCAAGTTTGGTCAAATCATGACCCCTGGGGACAGGGAGGGTCCACAACAGTTGGTTAAGGTTTACATAGGAATATATAGGTGTAATGGTTAAGGGGCATTTGAGTAAAAAGCATTGAAGACTTCAAATAGTGGAATGACCTGACAACCCTTGGAATGGACTAGCCTAAGGGTATATAATGCAAAGCTTTGGGAAAGTCAGGCATTCAGAAGGTAGATGTAGAAGTTGGATGATGAATCAGCAATAAAGAAGTTAAGGAATTCTATCCTAATAGCAAGTGATTCATTGAAATTGAAAACGTAACAGATCGTAGGTGTTGAATACTCAGTATATTTAGACATAATTCCCATTTATTAGTACTACTGTATTAGCATGTAAGGGTGGGATGTGTCCTAATTTATGACCTTGAATTTTGGTGAGATCTGTTTTTAATCAATAAAAGGATCAATTTTAAGAAACTTATCTGGTTAAAAAAAATCGTTATAAATTGTCATTCTATTTCTAATGTGTTTTAGTGCATTTTTCCACGACAGTATTTATTGATACATGTATTCTTATTATTTGAATTCTTATTTTAAAAAAATGCTCCAATGCAATCTTTGTAAAGTACAATGTACTTACTGCTTAGTTAATTAATTACATTTTTGAAACTTTCTCTTGGTAAATCCTTTTCTAATGTAAAATACTTTAAATTAATATCAGAGTATCATGTATGTGATGGACATGTAAGGATAGAGGATGGAAAACCTTAAGGGTAAGAGCAAAATAAATGTATAAAAGTTATAAACACCAGTGGCAAATATCCGAGGGAATTGATGTTAAGCTCTAAGTGTAGTAAATCTGAGGAAAATTGAGACAACTGGTTCTTATATATCAATGGGAACCTAGGGGAGAAACATGGTGCAAGTAGTACCTTAAACTACTGTACGAAAATAGTGCTGAGAATCCCAAATTTTACTGATAAGGTTTGATAATTACTGATACTGTGCTGTTCTTGCTGATAAATACTGATATTTACTGTTATTCTTACTGTTGTTACTGATAATTTTAGTTGTTTCTGATAAATACTGATAATTACTGTCGTCTTTACTGTTGAGTCTGATAAATACTGTTGATGTGCTGTCGATGCTGCGATTTACTGATAATTACTGTGGTCATTGTTCTTGAGCTGAGAAGGTGCTAAAATAGAGCTTAGGGTTGTTAAAACATTCTTCAATCATTACTTTCTTTTTATTTAATTTTCACAACAACATTTTCATGTTTCTTTCTTATGACACTTATCTCGATTACAATACGGTTGTGAAAATCTTGACAATTATAATTAAAGTTAACCATTAAATAAAATTGTCAGCGTAAAGGCAGATGCTTTCCAAGAATCTATGAAACTAGTACATGTATGTCTGTAAGCTGAATAAATGGAATTTTCCTTTTGCATGAAGATTTCATTTTAACATAAGTCACTGTAATAAACACAATCCAAATCAAAAAGAGAAAATCAAAATTCCTTTTTTTAAACCTGATTTTTCAAATCTGAAGTCGAATGTGGTCTAAAAGTCAATAAGTGAGCCTCTACAAGGGAGCTTTTCGAGAAATTCGCCACTTTAAGTGCAATTTAAGAGAGGAACGTTCCTCTTCATCAGAAATCTTCCTCGTTGTCTCCTTAGTTCTATGCACAAAAACTGTATTTGAGGAACGTTCCTCTTTTATTTTAGATTGCTTATAATAAATATGTGTGTTTGTATATACAATGCTATACGAGGAACGTTCCTCTATCAATTTCAATTGATAATACATACTATATCCATGAACCCTAATACAGATTATACTTGAGGAACGTTCCTCTACCAATTCTAATCAATGATACAACAAACATCAATCTAAATACACTGAACATTTGAGGAACGTTCCTCTTCCAATCTTAAAATATTAACAATATATACATGAATCTGAACCCAATGAATCTGAGGAACGTTCCTCTCCTAAATGTTTGCACTGGCTTCATAAGAGGAACGTTCCTTTCCTATTTGTTGGCACTGGCTTCATAAGAGGAACGTTCCTCTCCTATTGACACTGGCTTCATAAGAGGAACGTTCCTCTCCTAACTGTTGGCACTGGCTTCATAAGAGGAACGTTCCTCTCCTATTTGTTGGCACTGGTTTCATAGAGGAACGTTCCTCTCCTATTTGTTGACACTGGCTTCACAAGAGGAACGTTCCTCTCCTATCTGTTGACACTGGCTTCATAAGAGGAATGTTCCTCTCCTATTTGGTCATACTGGCTTCATAAGAGGAACGTTCCTCTCCTATCTGTAGACACTGGCTTCATAAGCCTGAACACATAACATATCTGAGAAACGTTCCTCTTCCCATTTTAAATTTTAACTCTTTATACATGAAAACAGAGGATTTGAGGAAAGTACGCTGGTATCCCCTAAGGAGTAGTTGACTCCTGTTGATTTTAAGATCACAAGATCACACATCAAGGATGAAACTTCTCTGGACAAAGAAAGATATTGTCTGCTTAAAATTTACATAAAAAAAATTAATGTTTGTAGGAAACTGAGAAAAAGATGTTGGTCAAATTTGTAACCTTTTTTGTAAATGTGGTGGTTTTTATGCATTTTAACCACAATAATTTTAAAGCAACAGAGTGCAAAGATTCATAATCCATTTGCATTTCCTGTACAGCATGATATGTTTCATTCATGGTTCACCATTCATTTGGTAATTCTTCTGGATCAAGTATAAAGAAATATTTTAAATGTATATCATTGTTCGAGTGATGTGTCAATCATATGATTCTTTCCATCTATCACTAAAGATTCCCGTTAACTTATGAATTAATAGATATTTTCTTATAGGAAAGGGAACACTGAAAAAGAGCTATGTTTAGGCCTACATGTACATTCTTGTGTAAAGGTGTGGAACAATCCCCCCCCCCCCTTTGAAAAAAAAATCCTGGATTTGCACATATTGCTTGTAAATATAAAATCATTTAATTATTATTTTAAAGATGCAAACCTGCAACTTAAGTAAAGCAAAATGCGGTCATGATTTATGAGCCTTAATTTCATATGGTAAAGGAAACTCGGAGAGAATACAGTGTGTGTAAAGTACTGTCATGTAGCTCGATAAGTCTCTCTGTGATCTCGGGTCCGTGCATTGGTTGCAAAAATGATAAAAGGAATATACTGTAGGTAGAAACTGTTCCTTCACAAAATGTTTTGGTACTTTGAAGTTTAAGTTGCAGGTCTTTCAAATGAGACCTTGAACGGGCGCATCATGTCTGAGGTGTTTGCACGCCAGAGAACCTTCACTGCTCAATTGCCCTGAGTATCGTGCGAATAAATAAAGATTTAAATTTGAAGCCTTCACCAGCATCAGGTGACCTCTCAGACAAGTGACATTTTCCTCCAAGAGACATACAGAACTACAACAATCAATCAACAAGAAAACATTGATGTAACCATCAATTGTCACCCGGGAAATAAATCAAGTAAACAATGGAAATGAGTCTTGATCATCAAACCGCTTTGATATGTGTGAAAAAGGCATGCGTCTAAATGATGGAGACGATAGTCGAGAATATTTTGAAAACTTATAGTCGGATGAAAATCGAACAAAACAATACCCTTTTAATCTTTATCAATTCCTCAAGTAATTGTTGGCTGCATAAAATATAAATTGAAACCAGACACATGCATCACCTATTTTCAAAAATGTCTTTCACTTTAAGAATATAAAACACGAACTGTGTAAAGTACGTTTTTACGTTTTTATGCGATAAGTAAAATTCGATGTTCTAAAAAAGGGGACCTGTCGTTTTTTCTATAGTAAATGATAAGCAACTTTATATATTAAATATGAAAAACATATATATTTTTAGATTCACTTTATGGAAGTAAATATATTGTGTATCTCGTAATTTATAAAGGGAAAGAAAATTCTCATTAACAATCTTTTTAATGTTTAGAAAACCTTTAATTCTGAATAACTTCTCCCACCTCAATCCCCATATACCAACACTTAAACTTATATGTATAGAGCAGCCCGGTCCTCCGGGCTGCAATCAAAAAGTTATACTGCATTCTCCTGAACACATATAAATTTACCACCGATTTGATATAAAGCTGCCATTAAAACATACACGTAGAAATTAAAATAAAAAGAAATGTAACAATGACAATTTTCTTAAATATTTAAAATTGTATTTAATATCTATATGAAATGATAAAAATTGAAACCAAGTATCCTTACCCTTAGCTTTTCTAGTTTATTTCATCCGAGATTCAAATGTAAATGACCAATCAATTCTATTCGGTTGAACATCCACTCATTTAATGGAAAATCAAATAATATTACAGA